TGTGGGGTCTAGAAACCGGCATATGACGCAGGACACGTTCGTTCTCCGAAACGGCTCGCCCGATCGGCTTGAGACCTTCCCCAATCGATTCTGTACGATGACATGAATCATGAAGCGGTAGCATCGAGACCTGACCTGATGTCAAACACCTAGAAAACGTGACGGGAAAATTTCATATACAAAAGCAGACAACTCAGACCTCAGAACCTACTGCATCGGTCGTTGCCAAGCCTTCACCACTGTATGAGCCATACCCCATTACTTCCTGCATTTGACAATTTGATGAACCTAGGTCAGGTCACAAAATTAATCAAATTTCAAATTCCCAAATTCTTGCCTGCAGACCACTTAGTTCTTTGAATCTACCACGCCGATTACTGCGAAACCCCACTATTAAGTGCGTCATACCTGATTCGTTGTTGAAGCCGCAAGTATCGGACCATTTACTAATTTCGCCTCTTCGTGGCATGTTTAATCCCCATAAAACGTACAACTTGGTTAGGCTGGCTTCATGATGATAGGAATGTCGTTTGTTTCCTGCATCTCTCCTTCGCGGATGTGTTCTACTGAAAGTCACGCGCTGGATCGTGCATGGTGTCGCTGTCGTGGCCGTGGTGGCTCGCGGCTGGTCCGGCTGGTAGATCCAATAACCGTGGGCTTGCCCATGTCAGGAAAAGGTCAATGGGTGTGGTGTGCGAACAATTATGACGTGATTATGCACATGCCCCCTTGGCAGCCTCTTGTGGTTAATAGCTCTAAGTTGTTCAGAAGTCCACAGAATCGAACTGAGCCTGGGTCACGGTTGTCACGTTTGCTGTAGATCTGACATGCCCGCCTGTGAGAGCAGGCTCGATGGGCCTGATCGAGCCGGACCGGTTTAGCCAGTGTCCTGCTGTGATAGATCCATGACCTGAGAATCCTTCTCAAGGATCTGCGTTCTGCACCCTGTCTATGGACTGTCACCAACGTTCGTGCTCTAGAAGCAAACGGTGGCAAAAATGACGAAAAAGACATCACTGTTTTAGTCAACGGGAACGTTGAGCTTCACCGTGTGTGTTGTGCGTAGCCGTATCAATGTAGGCGTACCGTATCAATGTATTAATGTTTCCCAAATGTGCCGGAAGTTACATATGTAATGGGCAGTGTTCTTTGCGTATCTGCTCACCAAAAAAGACGACTGCAGACAAAAAAGACTACAAAAAAGATTTTGCATTTGAGCAAAACGCATGTAAAAACGTTATTACTGTGATGTGTACCACCACAAACATTAACTTATGGAATTGCCCGTGCGCTTGAACACCCCCCCCCCCCCCAAAAAAAAACGGCGTACGTCTTCTTGATATGTAGCGCAACTACGGATCACCAAATGTTTAATGTAATTGGATATCAGGTATGGCTTATCCAATGGTGAAGGTTTGCAGCAATCGGCTCGTTAGGTTCTAAGAACTGAGCTGTCTGCAAGTAAGAATGCTGGATTTTGTAAAATTAGATGGCTTTTGACCTGACCTAGGGTCACCAAATTTTCGACTGCAAGCGAGAATCAGACATGGCGAATCTTATGGTTGAGGTTTGGCAGCGATCTGCTTAGTTGCTTGTGAGCACTATATTTTCTGCAATCAAGGATTTCGGGGCTTGTGAAATTTCGTGATTTTTGAACGATACGAACCAACGACGACTTTTGCGATAGCCTCCGGGATCGGGCTGCCCTCCTTAGCATGTGCACTTTTTCCTTCGCATTTTTCAGGTGTTTGACTTCCGGTCAGGTCTCCATGTACCTACCACATGCTCACCTCGTTGCACGGAATCGATTGGTGAAGACATGAAGGCGATCAGACGAGCCATTTTGGAGCACAAGGGTGTCTTCTTTCTATGCCGGTATTTTAGACCGGCAATGTCTGTCCGCATATTTACGTGAGGGTTGATGGGAAATGACCGGGTGGTCAGTGTGAGAGGGGGTCTGATTAATGTCATTTTGGGGTGCATAGAACTAAATGAAGGTGATGAACGTCTTCTGAATGTTTCGTGCACCCACTGAAATTAATATTGCATGGGATTCGTCGCGCAACGCCGGCGAAGCCAGTGGGAGATGCAGAAAATCGAAGCCGGGTTCACATTATAACAAAAAGCGGTTCTGGTTCTGGCCTCAACGTGTCAAATGCAACTTAAGGAAGTGACTGCTTAAAATTGCTTCACTCAATGGAAAGGAGTAATTTAAGCTGGCAGAAAATCGGTTCCTTGTCATTCAGCATGTTTCACATCAGGGATCAGTTTTAGAAGTTCGGTTAGGGATACTGGAAGGCAAATTGTCAAAATGTGCCCTGTCAGCTGGCATCATGAGACATTATTGGGCACTTGGAATGATGTCTTACAGAATCAGTATGGCTGATGAGCTAGAGCAGTGATTTTGTCATGTGTGGGTGATTCTGGTCTAGTTGAAAGTGTGTTTGCCTTCTGAGGACTGTTGTGGAGTTGTGTTGGGCAGATAGAGAATGACTCAAAATGAGGTTCAATATTATTCTATTGTGCCATTCCCCTGGCTTTTCTGCACAAGGGGCCCCACATAAATGAGCTAGAGAGTGACAACTTTTTCTCAGAGGACCCTTTTGTGCATCAAGTGGTCATTTTTATAATTATTGTCCCATCTTTGTGGATGAGGTAGTCCATGCTCCATATCAGGAGACCCAATGTTCCATTAAGGAGCTCCATTTGCTGGCCTGGAGCACCAACATGATAAACTAGAATGCCCCTGCCCTAGGTTAGGAGACAGCCTCTATATTTAGGAGGTTCTGTCTCTGGAATGGGCCTTTTCATGCATCATTTTCACGCATCATCAGAAGGCCTCAGTTTCAGCTGATGGTGCCTTGTTTGGGGATAATCTCCTTGGGTAGATTTGGAGGCTCATTTGTAAATCTGAAGCATCCTGTTCTTAGGCCCATCTATGCATCAGGCCACTTTCTATGCAAAGGATTAGGAGGCCCATCTGTGCATCAGGAGACCATCTTCTGAAACCCAGCCACTGCTTTAGGTTAGGGTCCCTTTGCTGCATACTTAACAGGTTCTGTGCCAATTTTTAAAATAATTTGCAAGGGATATTGCATGCTGTGCTCCTTTCCATGGGCTGGGACACTGCCCAAGAGCCCCCCCCCCCTCCCCCTCCCATCCTGGTGCACCTGCAGGTAGGCCCCATTTTGTCCAGCAGTCGAGAAGCCCACCTGGAATGTCCCGCCCCTCTAACTCAAAACATGCGGCACTACCCCTGACCATGGGCCACATGCATGACCTGGGTATTAATATTTCAGCTGATGTGATCAGAAATATAAATGTTTCCTTGACAACCCCATGGGTTCAGGTGACCATGAGCATGGTGAAAATAAGAAGTGCAAATATTAGATTAATTTACCATTAATAAAATCATGAACCATAATCCTGCATTGTCACAATATTTAAGTGGACTGGAAATTATGCATAAAATGCAGATAAATTTGCTAAAATATAAAAGGTTGAATTATTTGCAGATGCAAGTAGTACCATGCTTATCAGAGAACAAATTAGTGATGATTAAAAGATAATGGTGCAGCATGCTGCTGAGTCCATGCCACATTCAGTTAATGACATTGTTCAACATACAGCACAGTTGGCATAGAGCTTGAATGTTCGTCTTCATTTTCTGATCTTAACCTCCTGTAGTTTCAGAAGTCTCAAGGCACCAGGCAGTGAGAAAAATTGGCAAAAGGAAACCACTTAAGATTTAAGATATATCTGTTCTGATCTGTTTACCAGCATGCCTGTCAGCCATGCAGCTGCTGCCCATGTGTGGTCCAGATAGCCACTTGAACCAGCCAGTGTCACCTTGGTCAGCCTGCGGTCATGAACTGCTGTGTGAGGATCAGCTGGCTGGTCGCCGCCCATCCCGTCCTGCTGCCGCGCCGCCACCTGACGGTGGCCGGCCTGCGCGTGCGCCACCAGTACGACCCGCCGCCGGCGGAGAGCCTGCGCTGGTTCCCCGGCCACATGCGCACCGGCTGGCACCAGATGGAGGCCAAGCTGCGGGCCGTCGACGCCGTCATCGAGGTGCATGATGCGCGCGTGCCCTTCTCGGGTCGCAATGCGCGTTTCGAGCAGGCGCTGGCGGCCCGGCCGCGCCTGCTGGTGCTCAACAAGGCCGACCTGGTGACGAAGGAGGACCAGCGGCGCGTGGCGGCGCGGATGGCGCGTGACGGCGCTGGCGACGCCCCCGTGTTCGCCTGCTGCCGAGACCAGGCGGACGCCGGCTTGCGCTCGCTGGCTCGCAGGCTGTCTGCGGTCATAACGGGCTCGGAGCGGGCGGCGCGCGCCGACCCGCGCGAGTTCAACTGCATGGTGGTGGGCGTGCCCAACGTCGGCAAGTCGTCGCTGATCAACGCGCTGCGTGGCCTGCACCTGCGTCGCGCCGCCGCCGCGGCGGTGGGCCCGCGTGCCGGCGTCACCCGTTCGGTGACGACGCGCGTCAAGGTGTCGGAGCGACCGCTGATCTACGTGCGCGACACGCCGGGCGTGCTGGAGCCGCGGCTCAGCCCGCCAGAGGCCGGCCTGCGGCTGGCGCTCTGCGCCGCCCTGCAAGACCACCTGGTCGGACCGCACCTTCTCGCCGACTACCTGCTCTACTGGCTGAACAGGCGCGGCAACCACGCCTACGTGTCGCACATGGCGGTGGCGGCGCCGACTGATGACGTGGCGCGCTTGCTGGCTGAGAGCGCGGCGGCGCGCGGGCGCTTCCAGCGCGTCCGGGACGTGGCGCGCGGGGCGGTGGTGCGCCGGCCCGACACGCACGGCGCTGCCCTCCACATGGTGCGCGGCTTCCGCGCCGGCGTGCTCGGTCAAATTCTGCTGGACGATGACCTGCTTGAGGAGCCGGCGGGGGAGGCGGCCGGTCGACTCTGAACATTGTCGGCGTGGTGTCTGTGCGTGCGTGCGTTTGTGTGTGTGCAGAGGGAGGGGGGGGGGGGGGGGGCGGAAGGAAAGTGTTATCGTCAATCCGCCGCTCTGTTAGTGCGTGATGTTTACATCAGATGGAAAAAATATATAAGGGTGTTTTATTTATTAAGCTTTTGTGCTTGTTTTAATGAATGATTGGTTGTTGCTAGTCACGTTACCTCGTCATCTGGTCCATGAGAGTCGAATGAGCTACTCTGGATATGGCCATAGGATCTGCTCTTGCTCGGATAAGACCATGCGGTCCGCACGCGCTCGGCCGATAGGTTTGGCTGATGCATTTGTGATGTGCTCCAGGGTGCTTCAATTGTCATGTTCACCGGACAATAGCACTTAATCATCCCAAATCCTGTATTCGCGCACCAAAAACAAAGAATGGCCTTCAATGCACCAGATAAAACGACATACTAACTCCATTGATGTAAGGTAATATAGCATATCTATCAAAACTACAAAACGACGCTAAGCTGGCCAGTTCTACCAAATGATTGGGGAGGTACAATTTCAACTACGAATAGCGTCAGCGGTTTTGCGCGCAATGTGCGCAACTGCGGTCTTTGTAACCGGTGACTCCGCTTGGGCCGTCGGGGCTTACCATGTTTGTCGCGGGACCCAGTTTGAATCGTCTGGGCCCTCCTGTCGACCAAAAGGGCGTGATGTTAGCCATCTCGGGCCTCCCACGGGTGGCATATTTTCTCCTACGCGCCTCAGAGGCTGTTGTTTTGATTTGAGGAATGTTCTGCCTCGGCATGGAGGGGCCTCCCCTCGGCAAGGCGGGACCTCCCATCGGCGTGCTGGGAGGTCCCGCCTTCTGCATCTCGCCCTCTGCATCACGGAGTCTCCCTCTGCATTACGGGGCCACCCTCGGCATGACGAGGCCTCTCCCCGGCGTGACGGGTTTGCCCCTTGGCATGGCGGGCGTTCTTAAATTTCAATGTGGTCCAGCTCCAGAAGAGACGCGTAATACAGCAGAGGGATGAACAGACGTTTCGAACATGAGCCCAGCTGAGAGCGCTGAAGCACTGGAGGGCTGATGACCAAAACGACTGCTGAGCCCTGCTTCAATAAGCGCTGCCTACCACTCTATATGGTACACAGACCAACCATCCAGTATACCTCCAAGAGCGCCGTAGACCGTCATCCAGCATGCTTTTTTCAAGAGCTGCAATGCGATTGCTCAATGGGTCAATATCCGGTCAATTTTGCGCTTGGTACCAGGGGAGGCGGGCGGACGGGATGCAGTCCAACCCAGACGCGGATATCTCATATTGCGTGTATTTACGCATCTTGTGCAACTGCCTCATAATCAGCTGGCGTAATTACGGGCTTCAGGTCGGATGCAGCAGGATGATGACGCCACGAAGCTGTCAGATCACCGCAGTCATGCAGGGGACTACACTGAGGAGCAGACATATAACATTTGAGCCTACATACGGTGACCCCGTTTGCTGCTGAAGACTTGAAGGCTGGTGAATAGGCGAAGATCAGGAGTCGAGTCGAGGGCACGAACTTTCAGCGTTTGCCATCGCCAGGTGTGAAGAGGGGGAAGAGAAAATTAGCCAAGAGGAGGCGACATAACTACCTTACGCCTGCCACCGCCGGAACTGGACCCGATCTCGCCCAGCGCCGGCGGTGGCAGATGTAGGATAGGTGTCGTCCATCTTTTCTTCCCTCTCTACCCAGATGGTGGACACCGAAAGCCCGTGCTCCCCACTAGAAATCTTCTGATCTCCACCCATCCACCAGCCTACGATTCTTGGGAACGAAGCTCGTGCATGACCAGGCGCCGGGCGGTTCCTGGTACGGATAGCCGTTCCCCTGCATTGTAACGGCCCAGATGACGTGACAAGTGACTGCTAGTTTATGTAGTCATGACACTGACCGGTCTCTAGAACCCTCAGTGGGCCAGCCAGATTCCTTCGCCGCCAGATATAGGCAAGACGTACACGAAATCCCCACTTAAATATAATATTTATTTTCTTCACCGGTGCACTATTTACATCATTTATGTACACGATATAAAGCTATCAGTGGCCATGCGCTGCTGCTGTTTCCACTTCTCTGTCACAATGCGTCCTCAATGTGCGCCACGGCAGGACCTCCGCGGGACAGTCACACCGCCGTCCGGACAGATAAAGCACGCCGCCTGCCCGGCCGGACGGGGCCCCCGCTGCTGCTCTCCTCCAGCCAGAGGCGTCCACTGGTGCCCGTGGCCTCGAGGTCGTCTCCAACGGCAGTTGGCGGCGTCCACAGGTTACCAGCAACGTGTACCGTGGCCTGTATCGGCCGCCGCCACCGTCCGGACCCCCACAACGCTAATGTGACGGTGGCTCCTCGCCCCGGCGCGACCGAGCAGAAGGCCGTCGGAGGCGACAGTAAGCAGCGCGGCCCGGGCCTGCTCGCGGCAGCTGTCGGCGCTCCCGCCCCGTAGCGTCGACCGAGCCGGCCCGCCCGCCACCGCCCGCGCCAGGCTCGGGGTCGCCCGCGGTCCGCCGACCGTCGCCACAGCTGACGCTGGTGACCGACGCTCAGTCGTCCAGCGTGCCGCTGGCGAGGTCGGTCATGCGCGGGAAGCGCATCTTCTTCTGGTCCAGCTGCATCTGCGCCCAAAGCAGCAGCTTGAGCAGCGTCTCCAGGCGGGTGGTCGGGTCAGCGGAGCTCTCCTGGCGCAGGATCGCCGCGTTCAGCTCACTCGCCACCTGGAGGCCACGATCGGAAGTTACTGCAGTTCTGCCGCCACTAGCCAATCCGATGCTCAAATGTGCATTTTGCAGCTTCTCTGGAGAGTAGTGTTAACGGCGAACAAAGCGTTTACACCAGGAGGCTTAAGATAGCCCGTGCAGTCATTTTCCGGTGGGATGAGCGGAACCAAAAAAAACGGCCGGCGAAAGGCGGCTGATATAGAAAACGGCGGCCATATTTGGCCACCCCGGTGCCTCAACGGACAGAAATAGGCCGCAGGGCCTTATCAGTTGTTTTCTTCTGCTCACTCCACCCCTGATTCCAACCGAAAGAAATCGCGTGCGAGCCCCAGCGATGCCTCGGGGCGACAAGCAAGTTTGCGCGTGCATTCAGTCGTCGCCATCAGCTTCATAGTATCACCCGCTCGGGTTATGTGACGGTTGAACGTCGTGGAACGTAAAGCTGTAGCTCACCAGGCTTCTGCCCAAAATTGAAGCAACAATTTAACCACAACGAACGGCCAATACGCCCGACATTGGCACACATACACGCTCAATCGCTGTCCTGTACTTTGGTCACATCGTCGGGCCTCCACCAAGCGCGGCTCGAACGACTCAGCAAAACCAGGGCTACGACGTATCATTCGCCCAAACAACGACTATTTCCCATCTGCTACATAGATCCGTGCCGCAACGAGCCACGGAGCGCAGGCGTGTGGACGCCGAACAACCCCTCCAACTCAGCGAGGGCATTTCCCTCCATCTCGCGCCGTCTACCTTCTGCCGGTGCGAGGCGTTCAGCAGGTCGCCGAAGGGGCAGTTGGCCGGGTCCTCAAAAGCGAGCAGAGCCAGCGTGCGCTCCAGCTCTGTCAGCACCTCAGTGTTCTCCTCGCCCCGCTCGGCCAGGCTCTGCTGAGCGAAGCTGCCGCACGGAGTGGGACGGCGTCACAGATGGCAGCAACTCCCCGGCAGGGACGGCCGGCTGGGCCGCGCGCAGGGCGGGGTGGCGTCAGAAAGGGAGGCACCTAAACGATTGCTTTGAAAGCCTAGCCCAGATTGCGGCGCCGGCCGTTTGGGGTGCTCGCCTCCACTTCAGGTCCGGCGGTATAGTGATGGGACCACTGCAGATCCGGCGGTATAGTGATGGGACCAATGCAGATCCGGCAGTATACTGATCGGACCACTGCAGATCCGGTGCTATAGTGATGGGACCACTCCAGATCCGGTGGTATAGTGATGGGACGACTGCAGATCCGGCGGTATACTGATGGGACCGCTGCAGATCCGGCGGTACAGTGATCGGACCACTGCGGTGATGCATGCCAATGTCGCCGCAGCTCACCTCAGCGCCTCCTCCACGCGGCCGTCGCGGATCAGCTCGATCAGATGCTGCTGCTGCAGAGACAGACACGTCCGTTAACGGGCCATACCAGGCCACCACGCCACCTTGTCCTGAGACCGGCTTAGCGAGGATATTCGACAAGAGACTGTGAAAGCCGAGAGCCAGTGTTTCGGAAGGCTGTTTTTCAGATAGTTCAGCTTTGGTTGAGAGTTCTCTGGCTGCTCGGCAGCTTGGCGATATTTTTCACCACGTGGTGCGAACATTTGGGTCCACGCATAGGGACCTCACCCGGTTAGATACTTGAAGATACTGTGGTAGCAATCAAACGGACAAGGCAGAACACATGACCATTATACTATCACACAATAGCTACTGGAAATGCAATAGACTGAACACTCGTGAACCAAGACAGTGTACGGCCTATACCAATCCAGTCAGTCTGAGCTCACGCGAGTGAGAGGCCACAGGATACAATGAACAAGAAAGCGAAACGATTCCCGGGTCTCTAAACCTCCACAATACCCTTCTGCCGAATGCGTCTCCCCACAACCACCAGCATCGAAATACCTCATGTCATCTACCCAGTCACGACTAAATCCCGCTCCACTCCCCTTCCAACCGCCCCAGCCGCAGCTGGTGGCGCGGGTGGCGGGTCGCCGCGGCGCACCTGCAGGTGGAAGTAGAGGTAGCGGTCGCTGTCCAGCAGCTCCGGGTGCAGCTTGTTGACCACGTCCGTCGCGTCCGAGATGCGCCCCTCGCGGATAGCGTCCCGGATCCTGTGGCGCAGACGTCAACGAGGCGTCACCGGCCGCCGGGAGAGCACGCGGCGGCGCACTGCGGGGCCCTTCACCGGTGGGTGGCCACTGCGGGGCCCGTCACCGGTGGGTGGCCATTGCAGGTGCCGTCACTGGTGGGTGGCCACTGCAGGCCCCGCCACCGGTGGGTGGCCACTGCGGGCCCCGTCACCGGTGGGTGGCCACTGCGGGCCCCGTCACCGGTGGGTGGCCACTGCGGGGCCCGTCACCGGTGGGTGGCCATTGCGGGGCCCTCACCGGTGGGTGGCCATTGCGGGGCCCGTCACCGGTGGGTGGCCACTGCGGGCCCGTCACCGGTGGGTGGCCATGCGGGGCCCGTCACCGGTGGGTGGCCATTGCGGGGCCCTTCACCGGTGGGTGGCCATTGCGGGGCCCGTCACCGGTGGGTGGCCACTGCGGGCCCCGTCACCGGTGGGTGGCCATTGCGGGGCCCTTCACCGGTGGGTGGCCATTGCGGGGCCCGTCACCGGTGGGTGGCCACCACGCGTCCCGTCACCAGCGGGTGGTCACTGCAGGTGCCGTCACCGGTGGGTGGTCACTGCAGGTGCCGTCACCGGTGGGTGGCCACCGCGGACCGCATCACTGGTGGGTGGTCACAGCAGGTGCCGTCGCTGGTGGGTGGCCACCGCGGGCGGTCACCAGTGGGTGGTCACTGCAGGTGCCGTCGCGGGTGGGTGGCCACCGAGGGCCGCGTCACCGGTGGGTGGCCACTGCAGGTGCCTCGCGCTGGTGGGTGTCACCGAGGGGCCGCGTTCGCGGTGGGTGGCCCTGCGGTGCCGTCGCTGGTGGGTGGTCACCGAGGGCCGCGTCACCGGTGGGTGGCCACTGCAGGTGCCGTCGCTGGTGGGTGGTCACCGAGGGCCGCGTCACCGGTGGGTGGCCACTGCAGGTGCCGTCGCTGGTGGGTGGCCACCGCGGACCGCATCACTAGTGGGTGGCCACTGCAGGTGCCGTCGCTGCTGGGTGGCCACCGCGGGCGGTCACCAGTGGGTGGCCACTGCAGGTGCCGTCGCTGGTGGGTGGCCACCGCGGACCGCATCACTGGTGGGTGGCCACTGCAGGTGCCATCGCTGCTGGGTGGCCACCGCGGACGGTCACCAGTGGACGAGTGTGACGGGAGCGCGTCACTCTTCGACACATGCCGGAAAAATTCGGCTACCGATTGTGGCGTGATCTGGGCAGATCGATCGGGGAACACTGGCGGTGAGGTAGCAGGAGGATCTTCCGTCTTGGGATACTCTCTCGGAACTCTCTCGGAATGGGTATCACTTACTCCGGGCACAAGACAAACATTTGGCTTGAGGAAGACGTACGCGACTGTTTTACATTATCCTGCTGCAGCTGTCGCAAGCATTCCGAATGACCGACAAGCAATCCCTCCGGGCACAACCTAACGGCCCACGTACAAAATCTCGCACAACGCGTGCTCAGACGCCACGCCTGGCATACCGCGCCGGGAAGCGGGTGCAATCAGCGTACCACGATACCAGGCACGCTGTCCCACCGGCCTGGCCAGGAGGCGCCATGCCGACACTTCGGGCGACCGCTGACGGTCCGTCCGTCAGTGACACCACACACGGGGGCACGAGGGAGTGCCGCTTACCTGATGCGATCATCGAGAGACGCCAGGTCCACCTCAGAGGCCACCCCCGATTCCAGAGAAAACTTCTCGGCAGCTTCCTTGAATCCCTCTGAAACGGACGGCATTCAACCGCTGCATTCTGCTGCATTCAGGGATATGTGCCGTAGTCAGCCCATCTAGACACTGGCCGAGGTGTGGATCGTAGGTCTCCCCCGCCCCAGGTGCGCAGTTCAGGGATCATCTGCGCTCAATGCAAGATCCTATATGTCCAATGCTGTATGCTGTTGCCAATGCTGTCATTTCAATGTGAATTTGAGCTGGCCTCCATGTTGAAGCATTATCAGTGTGCACGTCCAAGACGTCAAATTTATATGTTCTCTTCAAACAAGTATTACCAGGGTCAAGTGGAATTTGTTATTAGATGAAAGTTGTTCCCTTTCGCCTTATGATGAACTTTACCCCTGTAGCAAGAAACAATTAAATGAATTTATTCCACCCGATCCAATGATAAGTGCGTTCCGCCCTCTGCACGTGTGATTTTATTGCAAACAAAGCGATTGTGGTCACTGTCAGTCACCTCAGTGGCTTCATGCGTTTCAAAACTAACCAAACACTGTCTTGAGGCCACGCGGCTCCACCGCGCAATTAAGCGCGTCAACAGTGATCCCTCGCGTATCGCAACATAGCTCATGACAGCGTACGGTGCAACACACTGAAAGCGATGAGAGGGAGCCGCCCCGACCGTCACTGACTGGCGAAAATTAGAGAGCGGTGAGAGGGAGCAGCCCCGACCCGTCACTGACTGGCGAGAACTAGAGAGGTAAGAAGGAGCCACCTCGACCCGTCACTGACTGGCGAGAACTAGAGAGCGGTGAGAGGGAGCCACCTCGACCCACCGCTGACTGACAAGCCCCAGATAACGGTAATAAGCAGCCACCCCAACCCGGCCCCGACTGGTGAGCCCAGATAGCGGTAATACGCAACCACCCCAACGCGGCCCCGACTGGCGAGCCCCAGAGAGCAGTGATAGGGAGCTGACCCCGACTCGGAGCCCAGCTGTGGCTGGCTGGTGAGGCCCACAGTCCGTCGTCGGCTGCCTCCCTGGGTGTGGCACGGCGTGGTCCGTGCCGCTGCTCACCGGTCACCAGGTAGTTCATGATGAGCCGATTCATGTCCGACCTGCTGACGTGCACACGCTCCAGCCGGCCAGCCCACTTCTCCTTGGGCATGCTGCAGCTCTCCGCCTGCTTGCTCATCGCGCTGGCGGCAGCGGGGCACACACCAGTCACGGAGGCGCTCCGTGCACAGGAACGGGTCGCGGCAGCAGCAGGGCACACATCAGTCACAGAGGCACGCCGCGCACAGCAGCAGACTGCCGCCTGGTGGGGGTCACTGGGCACGCCTGCTCTAAAACACCACATATGAGAGCACACATTAGGTATGATTGAGCAGGAGCACTTCATGGACTTTTTTCTTATTTACCATAAATGACAACATGGACTCTGCATTGCAACATGACACAAAACAAATAAGGATGCCTCCAAAAACATATCCGCAGGTTAACCATACCCTACCATACCATGTCAGCACTCATTTCAACTACTGCATTAACAAATTACAGCAGTCCATGTCAGCCATGCCAATGTTTACATTAAACAGCCTCCCATGATGGACAGGCAACAATTTTAATCCATGATAAAACCCTGATAACAGCACCATTTCAATATTATACTCAACATCTTCACCACACACTTAACATGAGATTGTATACAACATGAGGTGTTGCCAAAACAGCACTGATTAATTCTATCATAAACACTCACCTAGTCCTTGGCATGTCAGGGCAGGCTTTCAAGGTTCCAGTAATGAAGGGTAAATAGGAAATTACTGTGATCTAACAATGAGTATTGGAACACTTGGCCTTATTTAAGCTTGATGCTCTGTAGGAGTACATAATGGGTAAAAATTGTTTTGTTGTGTATGAAAAATCAGGAAGTTAGGTGTCATGCAGCAGTGAATACACATGACAAAAACAAATGTCAGCAATCAACACTCATAAGACTTATGTTACTTTGTTTGGCTTGATGTCTTATACAGTATGCATCCCTTTTTAACATATCTACAGCAAGAACATTGGTGAATAGTTAACACATCTCTGTAGGGCCCGAACAGGTGTGGCAACTGTCATAACCAGGCAGGTGATGATAAGACAGAGCATCAAGCCAGATATAACAAGCATTCCAAAATTCCTCTAGTAGGGTATGCAGGAGATATACACATTCATGCCACCTGAATTCTGGCCTTTTAGTTGGCTTCCACACAGACAATTTGTTGGCTGTTAATCCATGACCTTCTGACACCAAACCCTGACATCCGACCTACCTGGTCAATTTGGCAAGCCTCAGGCACCTAGGTGCTGGGTTGACCACCACCTGCTGGATACTGATTGGCTGATACTGAGAAAGCAGAAAAACAATAGGTAATTTACACTGTGTGAGGGCATGATAGCATGAAAAATGTTGATATCCCTGCTGCCCAAGTATGATGATGATTTGGGGTTTTAGGGCGCATCGACTGCTAAAGGTCATGCAGCGCGGCCCAAGTAGCTGAATATTAAAAGACTGATGACAATCATGAATAACTAATCAAAAACTTAATAAGCATTCCAAAATAGCTTGGAAAAATGTTCAAATGTGTGTTTAAGAGCATGGTATGTGACTACACATCAGACCCATGTGAGTACACATGTATGACAGGGCAAATCAATATAAAATTATGGATATTTCTCTATCACAATGGAATGGCTGTCTCATGGAAAAGTGGTGATAGGTTTCATGCTTCTCATATGACAGAAACAAGTACTGCAGAGATGGAGAATGCACCATGACATGAGAAATTCAAACCAGTGGTGCTTTCCAGAATGTGAGTGTGCATAAAAATGCATGCATGCATAAACCTAGGTCTAAAAAAATTGCCTACTGCATCAAACACCTATTTCGCACCCGTGTATAATATGCCTTACTTGCATGCATCAAACAACCTATTGTGAAGGAAAACTGCATGAATTTTTGAATTACTTTTTGTGATGAAAAATGTTTTTGGAGTCTTTTGCATGAAGCTACCTAATATCATAGTGCTTTGGAGGATTTCTTGCCTTTGGGCTAAAACTGGTGATGATGTTGCGCTGCACTTTGAGCACTGAAATTTATGGGATACATAAGCTGAAGATGTGGCAGCAATGCTGAAGTTACTACCATGCAGGACATGTATTTTACCAGGACATGAAGTTACTGCCATCAGGACATGCACTCCATGAGGAAAATCCATACCTTCCTTGCACTTCCTGCTGATCGCAAACCAGTAAATGTAATGTTTTGGTGTATCACAAGAGGTAAAAGTAACAGCCCCATCATCCTGCAAACCCTCAGCATAATAAAAATAGCACTGCCTCCATAAGGTTGTACATGAAGATTGGTCTTTGACCAAACATCCCTTGCATCCCTCTGATATCAATGCCATGTTAGCTACCTGGATGAGCAATCAACAAAGAATAACCAAAACAATGAACATTGTAAGTGAACTGAGCATACTGGTCTTGACATATCACACCAAAAAAGTGTCTAGCATCATTTTAAAATAGCAGTACAGACTGCCTTTAACATTAGCATGCACCATATTTCTTATCAGTGGCATTCTCAATTTTGTATCTCATTACCTTCAGCCTTGGCCCCTAAACCAAAATTGTGACTGTGGCACACCTGTACTCAATTATAATGACTGGCAAGGGGACAACCCTCAAGATCCCAAATGCTCAACCGTAGGGCTAAAACTTGTCACTCATACCAAGCTTAACAAAAGACGCAGTGTGAGGGTTCGTTGACAGTATTATTGGGTGTGAAAGGGAGCAACCCGAGCCAGTGCGTCAGGTATCTCATTAAGTTCTCCACACCGCTGATGCGCATTTTCAGACAGGCATTAATTACCTGACACTTTTCCTCCGCTCGTTCCCAGAACAGACTTGGTCCAACGCGGTTCACACCTCTCGCGTGCACCTAGCTGATAGCTTCAAAACAACAAAGCCTAAATTAAGCGCACTGTGTTCTGAAATTACGAGCGACAACTACGGCGCAGATGTGTCTTACGACTCAATGAGTGTAAAACTAAAATCGTTGCCAGCTGTTGCATTCCGACCAGCTGGTCGTGATGTCATGATGTTTATGTTGCAAAAGACGGTGTCAGGAACCTCTAAGGCTATTTTAGATAAGCTCAGAATCAACCAATTACAAGCGCATCGCATTATCGACGGTTTTAGACTGGTAATATCAGGCAGCTGCATGACTTCCAGAACGCACAAGCAAAACATCAAGCCCGAGCCCGGACACACTACATTGAAAAAGCTCCCAAATGAGATATTGCTTCCCCGACACAGTCCGGTCCGGTCCAATCCGATTGTATGGCTGACATATAGATGTGAACACAGCGTTCCGGTACAAGGCTTTGTTGCCCTTTCTAATCATAGTCAAATTCTTTCCAGTATCATTCAACACGTTCCGTCCTATGTCGATCGCGTCCGATCTTGACCTTTCCCTCACCTTGGAAATATTTTGCATGCTATGAACGGCACCACCCATACATTTTCTTTTAACATGTTTAACATTGAGTATACTTGCGAGATCACCAATAACTTTAAAAACCAATGATATTCTAAAGTTGTATTAGCCATGACGTCATCGCCAGCTGACCTTTCTTCGTAAGCCTGAAACCTCTACAAGCAGCTGCGCCAATTTCTCCATCACTCTGCATCCTGATCCGTTGATTGGGAGCGGCTTGTGGTTGCGGCGGTGCTTGTGGGTACATAGGGGTGGACTTGTGGTATTATTAACATCTTTATCGGAAGCAGGAACCGCAATTCCTGTATCATGTAGTTTTGGAGAAATTCCCTGTCGGGAATATTTTTGTGGCGTCAGGACGGGCACGAATATTATCAATACGTTGCAGTATAAAATCAGAGTTGTAGACAGCAGGATTTTCCCGAACAGTACCTTTCAATTAGCGTTTGCTGTAGCTTTTCAAAAATTCGTACCATTAGAACCCTTTCTTACCCATAAAAGCCTGTGATGTCCATTTAGACAGTACCTTAATTGCTTTGTACCTACCGATAGGATAAAAATACATGTCATGCCAAACGTGCCCAGCTTAGGGGTGACATCGTAACCCAATAATAATGTTAGTGCCTGCGTGCTATAAATCTGAGTTCTCACAGTCTGATTTCATGACTAGTACCATCCATGATACATTTAGGCAATGGTTTCAGGAATTATGCAAGAAAGGTGAAATCAGTCAAAAATGCCTCTAAGATATCTTTTCAGCAAAAATTATTTGAAAATGCAGCATGATTTGGCCTGGCTTGAGTTTGGTGTACATGTGCACAAAACATTCCAAAATACTTCCAGGAGGATGTGCAGGATGTACATATGTATTCATGCAACCAGCACTCTTAGTTCCCCAGCAATCTCAGTGCACAACTTATTGGTGCTTATGTGTTGCCCTGACCCAGAACTCAGACATCTGGTCTGCCCACCCCTTTTTCAGGCCTTTGGCACTTAGATAGGGTGGGATTGCCAATTTTGAGGAATGGGAGTGACACCAAAGCTAGGGGCGTAATGGCATGAACAACGAGTGACATCCTGTCACTTAAGTAGCTGAATGCTTCAACACTGGTGTATCAGGTTCAGCACACCAGAGTCACATAGGTGTCCAGTGCAGTGGATAATTTTTTTGTACATTGCCATACTGGTCATGGATCAATAGATTTTGTGGCATTTTCTTAAATCGGCCCTGACCAGAATGCACTCCATCCTTACAGAGGCATTGGACCAGGGCTTCCTCCAAGTACTGAGTGGGTGCACTGGCAGGTGATATCAGATTCCAACATCCACAAAATGTTCTTGTTTTTACTTGTGTATCTCACAAGACACTTAAACAATGTCTGTGATGTTCTTGGAGAGAAAGTAAGAACAGATAAAATTTTTGCTCTGACTAGCAAGGGCTAATGCTGAGCCTCCACTGCCCTATTCTCCCTGCCCCTCCCCTCCCTTCCCCAGCTAACATGTTAAGGAGACACTTGATTGAGCTGTGAGAAGTACATAGATGTTTAATCCAGTGGCAGTCACTAATCCAGAATCCACCAGGACATCTCAATATCATCCATTGCCCAGGGTGCCTTTTTACTGGGTCATTTCACATGGAAGATGTTCATATACCATGCATTTTGGCATGTCAGAAATATATGTTGATAAAAATTACAGTACCTTGCCTTTTCTGCTGCATTGCTGCACTGTGATTCTGACAGCATGGCTGCATTCAGCATGCCTTAGTGCAAGACATTGCTCCAGCCACATATAGCCCTCCAAAAATATAACTCACAAGTTTTGTGCCATTGCCATCTGTGAACACACCACCTTAGTACACTGCCTCTGGTCCGCAGCCCTCCAGCCGTGCGATGGACAATGTGTCCAGTCGCAACTCGGTGGTGGCCACGCGCACGGCGCGTATCATGATGGAGGGCGTCGGGGCGCGCGTGATGCGCGGCCCCGACTGGAAGTGGTGCAAACAGGTGAGTGCGCGTCGCATCGGGCGGCGGCCGCTGCTGCAGCCGGCCGTGGCCGGTGAGACGGGGCTGAGGAAGGCGTAGCCAGCTGCCAGCTAGTATTGCGGGCTGTCGTGTTTTGTGTGTGCGTTCTCAGTGTCACGCGTCGCGCCAAGTGTAGGCATGTGTTACCGTGCCGCGGCATATTTCCAGGCTATGGCAATTGTACCGATCGCTGGGCGTGGGCGCTGCGTGGCTTCCTGATTTTGCAGTACCATGTGGTCACTCACGGGCATGAGTCCCCGTGCTGCCGTCCTCACGGGACGAGCGGCGCCATAATCGAGCGCACCTGGCGCGCGCAGGACGGCGGCGAAGGCCACGTGGGCACCGTACGCAACTTCGAGTCGTCCGAGGAGGTGGTGGTGGTCTGGGACAACGGGACGGCGGCCAACTACCGCTGCGCTGGCGCCTACGACCTGCGGGTGATCGACAGCGCGCCCACGGGTACGTGACGTGTGGTGCGCGGCCAGCACTCTCTGGTATGGGAGTGGCTTGCCGTGGCGAAGGACTCACTTATCACGGGAGGCACTCATTGGTTAACGTGTCACGTGTCGTGGGCAGCCCCTGCTGGTGCGGGACTCGCTTGTGATGAGAAGCACTTGCTGGTGCTTGACTCACTTGTGATGGGGAGCTCTAATGTGTGATGCGCTTGACACGGGAATGCTCACTGGTAAATAAGCCACTATCACGGGAAGCAGCAACACATACGTCACTAGCACAGTTGGTAATGCCCATATATTTGTGGAAGAACTGGGGCCATATGGTGTGTTTTCGTGGCATCATAGAGCAGCTCCTCTGAGCGTTCTGACCTGCACCATCTGGCTAGCCCGAGTGGGGGTCCGCCGGAGCCCCTGAGCGCTCCGCCCGCCGCCTGACCGCGGGCCGGCCCGTCTCGCCCCACCGCAGGCATCAAGCACGAGGGCACCATCTGTGACACGTGCCGCCAGCAACCCATCTTCGGCATCCGCTGGAAGTGCGCCGACTGCTCCAACTACGACCTCTGTTCTGTTTGCTACCACGGCGACACACCACCTGCGCCACCGCTTCTACCGCATCACAGCCCCCGGCTCTGAGAGGTGGGGCGCGCACAGGCGCAAGATCACCTCTGGGTTGGCCGTACCGCGGCCGCTTTGGTGGCCAGTCCGAGGTCACGTGACTACAGGTCCGCGAGCCTTTGGTGAAGTTGTTTTCACAACAAGCGTATTCTGACCGAGTGACATCGCTGCTTTCGGGTGTTCAGGACACTCGGTCAGTTTGTGTTGGTCTATGACGTCTGGTCGCCGTCTTGGCCAGTTTGTGTCCGTTTCCGTGACGTCTTTGCCGCCGCCTCGGCCAGCTTGTGTCGGCTACATGACGTCTCTGTCGCGGCCTAGCCAGCTCTGTGGCTCTGTGATGTTGGCCGCTGGTCTGGCCTCGGCCAGCCCTGTGTCGGCTCCGTGACGTTGTCGCCGCCGCGGCCAGCTGTGTCGGCTCCGTGACGTCTCTGTCGCCGCCTCGGCCAGCTTGTGTCGGCTCCGTGACGTCCTCTGTCGCCGCCTCGGCCAGCTTGTGTCGGCTCCCGTGACGTCTCTGTCGCCGCCTCGGCCAGCCTGTGTCGGCTCCGTGACGTCTATGTCGCCGCCTCGGCCAGCCTGTGTCGGCTCCGTGACGTCTGTGTCGCCGCCTCGGCCAGCCTGTGTCGGCTCCGTGACGTCTATGTCGCCGCCTCGGCCAGCCTGTGTCGGCTCCGTGACGTCCCTGTCGCCGCCTCGGCCAGCTTGTGTCGGCTCCGTGACGTCTCGCCGCCTCGGCCAGCTTGTGTCGGCTCCGTGACTGACGTTTTCCTCGGTGCGCCGCAGGGTGCTGGTGGAGCCGCGTCGCAAGAGTAAGAAGACCTCTGTGCGCGGCATCTCCCCGGCGGCCGCGTGGTGCGCGGCGTCGACTGGCAGTGGGAGGACCAGGCGAGTGACGGGCGACCGCAGCGCCACCGGCGGCGAAAGTCGCAGCCAGAAAACGACAGGCAACGAAAATAGTGATGAGATGCAGGCCACTCAGTATTGCTAGCTGTGTTTTAGTCCCGGGAATGTTTTTACACGCTATCTCGGTTCAGCTGAGACATGCGGTTATGTTGATAAGCACCGAGCGGGATAGCGGTGCTCTGCGTTATGTGAATGCATGTGACGCTTTGCACAAAATGCAAATTGTGAATGGAATGGTCAGTAAGGTAGTTCTTGGGACGTGGATGGAATGGAAGTTTACATCTGGCATTTACACTTACAACAGCGGCATTTGGCTTCCATTACATTCAGAAAAAAACTGTGTGATGTGTCGTTCTTATGACGTTCAGCGTGCTGTGACTGGTGTTTTGATGATGCTGGCATCCCGTGTTTAGGACGGCGGCAACGGAAGGAGGGGCAAGGTGACGGAAATCCAGGACTGGTCAGCGGCCAGCCCCCGGTCTGCCGCCTACGTCATCTGGGACAACGGCCAGAAGAACCTGTACCGGGTCGGCTTCGAGGGAATGGTGAGATTAAGCAGATTGCGTAGCTGGTTTCAGCGCAATCCTAAGGCTGATAATCCAACTCATTTTCCTGGTTGAAGAGAAAAGACTATGTTCTTGTGCTTTTCACTTATTGTAGCATCAAATGGATGTAATTTGATCAGTATGACCAGTTCTCTGGAAATCTTCCTGGATAGCTCAGAATTTTGATTTGAAGTAGCCGACTCTGCAGGATAAATCTCGCTTAACTCCATGCTCACCACCATGAAAGTAATACATTTCAAATGCCTCGCTTTTCCGAATGTATGCTCTGTAATGTTTGCACCTAATGTGCCAAAATCTTTGTGCAACAAGTGTTATGAAGGCCTGAAACACTGCTTAGACAAAAAGCTTGCGAGCATCAAGCTACTGTCCCGCGAATTCAGTGACACGGTATGTTATGGCTTTTATTTCTCCCCTATGGCGTTTACCACGGGCTCTTTTCGAGGCGCACTTTGACTTTGGGAATGGGAGCATCACATGGTCACCGCCATGGACGAGCCAAATGACCATTCATAAGTTTTTTCGTAACCTGAACGCTGTGAAATCCAACGAAATCTGTAGCGCTCAAGCACCGAGATCAGGGGCTTGCGTAACTAGCGTGACCCTGTCTCCGCGGGCAGTGCACTACGACACTGCCGTGATGTGCGGTAGTTTGTGATGCACTAGCTGCAGAAACGGGCACCGCAACACTCCTCCGAGCGGCTGAGATACAGCCACGCCTTACCGGCCCTCTCTCCATGTGTCCCCCGTCCCCCAGGCGGACCTGAAGGTAGTCAACGACGCCAAGGGTGGCACCGTGTACCGGGACCACCTGCCGCTGCTGGGGGAGCAGGGGCCGGGTCGCAGCGCCGGCCACGGCTGGAGCATCGGCGACCAGGTCAGTCATAGGTCAGGTCAGGTCAGGTGCGGCGCCCTGGGGTTAGGTCACCGGCGGCTCAGATGGTCGGGTCGGGTCAGACGTCGCCCGGAGGGCGAGAACGCACAGGTCGGCGGCAAGGTCGTGTCAGTTGTCGTACCAGAACCAGTTCAGGCCAGAGCGAAGTGACATCTGATGTTACTCTGTATGCTGAATGATGCTAGTGAGGTCAGTCAGCCCGCTGAGGTGAGTGTGAACAATGCACAGGTGTTGACCATGGATGTCCGGGGGCGTGTCGCCGCACGTTTGCTTAAGTTAGGGAAACCTGCACCACTCCGGTCATGTCAAACATAATTCACCCAAACAGTACTACAGCGTAACGAAGGGTGGCGAGAAAGAGGCCGCGTTTGCTGCCCACTGACGCCACGAGAACCGAGCGGCCGCAGCGCTCACCTCGTCTCCTCACGCTGGCGCCGCAGGTGAACGTGGACCTGGACCTGGACATCGTGCAGTCGCTGCAGTACGGCCACGGCGGCTGGACGGACGGCATGTTCGAGTGCCTCGGCACGGCCGGCACCGTCGTCGGCATCGACGAGGACCACGACATCGTCGTCTCCTACCCGAGCGGTAACAGGTGAGGCTGCCACCGTCGTCCGCGCGCGCGCCAGTGGGCCTGCCTTCCGGCAGCGGGTGTGACCTCGAACAGCAGAGCACGGAATGGAGACGTGGCCGGGGGCGGTGTAGCATAAGTTCAGCCGGAGCTCAGTGGAAGGTGTGTCAAGGTGGTTTGTATTGTGAAGGGTATGAAGGGGTAATATATATCCCGTACCATATAGAATAGTATATGATAGGGGTATATAATAACAGGTGATGGGTGAAGGGGTAATATATATCCCTTACATATGATATACCCCATTATCCTATGCATTTGTTGTGCTCATGGAGAACGCCTCGATAGTGTGGTACGGGTCAATGCCACTGGAATTCAAACGATGCGTGCCTACGCCCTCCACTGTACAGGCCTGACCTGCGTGTTCAGGGCCGTTATCCATCAGTGGTTACCGTGATAGTCATCGATTCGAATTGACGCGGAGGCATGCTTAACCACTGCCAAGGTGGCGCCCGTCTGGCCCGGCGTGTCAGCCAGGGCGGGCGTCGATGACGGAGACGTTATTCGTCGACACAGCGATATTAAGGCCAGCGGCTACCATTTATCCCATTGGTTTTCCACTCGTCGTGGCTGCTCCACTCGGTCGTCTTGTATGAAGTACACCAGCTTCCCTGCATTATGTGCCCTCCCCCCTCCCGCCGCAGTATTTAAGATATGGATGGGAAGTTTTGTGCACTCAATCCTTGTGGGCAGGACCTTTTCACTCAAGCTGTGCTGTGGATAAGACTACCACCTCCTGCCATGACCAGTGGACCCCATCTCTCCGTGACAGGCTGTCCCATTACCAGCGGATCCTCTCTCTCCATGACAGACTGTCCCATTACCAGCGGATCATCCCTCTCCGTGACAGGCTGTCCCATGACCTGCGGATCCTCCCTCTCCCCGACAGACTGTCCCATTACTAACGGATCCTCGCTCTCCCCGACAGAATGTCCCATTACCAACGGATCCTCCCTCTCCCTGACAGACTGTGCCATTACCAACGGATTCTCCCTCTCCGTGACAGATTGTGCCATTGCCAGCGAATCCTCCCTCTCCCCGACAGACTGTCCCATTACCAGCGGATCCTCCCTCTCCCTGACAGACTGTGCCATCACCAACGGATCCCCCTCTACCTGACAGACTGTCCCATTACCAGCGGATCCTCCCTCTCCCTGACAGACCGTCCCATTACCAGCGGATCCTCCCTCTCCCTGACAGGCGATCCCACGACCTGCGGGTTGTCCCTCTTCCTGGCAGGCTGACCCGCTGTACACAGAGTACGGTGGTGCACATTTTCCTTGCTATCAGGCTTGGCAGATTTAGCATATGTGTCGGAAGTATCACAGACTTGACTAGACTAGACTATCACAGACTAGCACCCCACTTCGTCGATCCGTGTACTCCGTGTTAAGCCCACCTCTTATCAGAGTCCCGTCCCCCCGACAGCCCACCGCCCCGTCAACCGATGCTCTGCTGACCCGTCCCCATTAACGGCCTGTTTTCGGTGCCCTGCCTGTGGGCACGCCTCCCCCTCGTGCCCAGCCACGCGACCTCCGGCCGACCGATCCCTGTCGGCCGTGGCTAAGCCGCCCGTTCTGTCGGCGCCCCGGCTGACGTCGGCGTCGCCGCCAGGTGGACGTTCAACCCGTGCGCGCTGAACAAGGTGTCGAGCGCCAGCGGCTCGGCGGGGGACGCCGGCACCAGCCAGTTCGCCGTCGGTGACCTGGTGCAGATCCACAGTGACCTGGAGCGGATCAAGGTGCTGCAGCGGGGCCACGGCGAGTGGGCCGAGGCCATGCTGCCGGTGAGTGGCTCCCTAGTCGCCTCTGACGGGCCTTCACACCGTGATAACCCTTGGCTGAAGCTTCTTTGCAGAAGTTGAGCCACAACGATGACTGTGGGATCAGCGTCCTCGCTGAAAATGGCCTGTTGCAAAGCCCCGGAGTCCATTGCCCCGCGAGTCGTGATGTGGCATTTTGCGGAAATTGCGACGCAATGTTGCAACACGGCTGCCCTGTTTCAGCCTGACTCCTGGTCGGGTGCTAGTTGGCTGTTATTGGCTAGGACTTTAGCACGGTGTCTGGGAAGTTTGCCACACCGTGTTTGGTGTTCGGCTGCTGCACCAGCGGAGGTCCAGGAGCGGCATCCAGTCTCTTTTTAATCTGAACATTTACAATGTCCTTGTGCAACCAGTCTTGATATATTGCGGAGCTTCAACTGTTAATTGTCGCCCACAACCTTGAAAGGCAAGGTGCCTGTGTTCCTCCCAAACGCATCCGTCCTTCGAATTTTCGATCGTCTCTGCAGATCCTTGGTAGACTGTGGCACTGCTACTGTGGGTTTGTTGCTTTTTTTGCTTTCATGTGCGCGCGATCGCGATATCCCCCTGTCCGTGGTGGCGTGCCGAAGGGACGTCTCCACTGTCTGTGTTTGTCTTCAACCTCATTTTCACCTGGTCAGACTCTGGGGAACATCGGGCGCGTGCAGCAGATCTACCACGACAACGACCTGAAGGTGGAGGTGTGCGGCACCTCGTGGACGTACAACCCGCTGGCCGTCACCAAAGTGGCGTCCGAGGGCTCGGTGGCCGCCTCTTCCAGCGGCGGTACGTACCGCCACGCGGACCGTTGGGGAAAGGGTTGGCAACAGGGCATGATGATTATATGATATGATTATTCACCGCATGATGAAGCATCCATTCGTAGAGAATAGGGCACAACATTCATGCCCTTTGTAATATATGCCTACTTAGCTTAAAAAGGGAAGGGGCATTCTCGCCCCGTATAAAAGTTTGCGATGGGTATCTGTCTTCTGTGACTCCTGTTGCCACATCTATGGACCGGGGGTGGCATTGGGGCTCTACGACGCATTCAGCTACTGGGGCTGTATGACGTTGACCGCCTCTCACCCTGGCGGGAAGGGCGGACATCGCGGGGAATTGAACCCCGTACCTCTGGTTTCCCAGAGGTGCAGTGGTTAACGCAAACGCGTTAACCACTACACTATCGACACCCCATGTGGCTTAAGTCCCATAACCTGGTCTGATAAGACACCGGTTGTACATTATCACTGCTGGCAGACATATGGCGGCAGGCGATGTTAATTGCTAACCTTTCCAACGTCATGTTCAACCATCATGGTCATTTAGCATAGTTCCGCCATAAATGTAACATCATGCCAAAGTCCTATGCCTCAAATCAGTGTCAGAACCTTTGACTCTTGTCTCGAAATGTTTCCTTGGCTTAAGACGTGGTTGTGTCTAATTGTTTGTGGGTGCTATGTTAAATTTGTTATAGGATAATTCCCCCAGTATCTTGTCCAGGACACTACATGAGACGTCCATGGATAGGAAGTAGCCCTGAGAGACCGAAGGCGTTTTCAGTGATGCATATTTTTCATGCCGTTTACGTGTCGGATCCACCCCCGTTTGACGAATTCAAGAAAAGGAGTAAATGTTGCGCGTCTTAATGTTCACTATCAATATCAATAGCTTAAGATATCAGTCATGGACAAGAGAAGATACTCGTCGTCAAGAAGATAAGCACTCGACGCCTTAATTTGCGGTGTTTTACGAGCGAGGCGGTATAGGTGTGCTAGTTGTTTTTATCATGTTCATGACGCCAAAAAGTGAGCTTATGGGGGCAGGCACCTCTAGCAAACGAGACCAGTAAGTTTCGTCTGTGCATTTCAAAGTCTACCTTGCACGGTAGTGCAACACAAGGAGGTCCAGTAATGTAGAATTTTCGCGCTTATCTAACAAGAACTGGCTGCAAAATGGCCAGTTATGAACCAGTAATTTTTGGCGCGGGCTTGATAACTTTGTCATGGTCTAAGTAGATGAGTCTACAGAAGCACGGTTTTAGCAGCTTTCTTTCTAAATTATTGTGAAAGCAGCACTTGCGTGCATAGGGGTGGGGGCATCGGATACAATTAACTCGCGCTTGCCCCCCCCCCCCTGAAGATTTTTCTGGGATGGTTTCCTAAAGGCCCGACGTATCCGCGCCACATTTTGCATAACTGTAGACAATTGAATAGAAGATTGTTTTTTAATAAAAAATTAGATGTGCCTAGTGAGGTCACTACGGCAGGTCAAAGTCAGGCCACGGATTCAGCGAAGTCATTTTCTAGGGAATCGTTCAATCTGATGCGACAACGGAGTGTTAGACATAACCATACATCTGTGGGATACTTTCTAAAGTAACACAGCAAGTGAATGAGCAAATGCAAGCAAATTCATTTTTGAATGAACGAATTCACTGGCCTAGGGTCAGATATGAAGGTCAGACCAAGGTCAAAGCCAACCTGTTTTGTTACTCAAGGGCTTACTGCATGGGGTAGTTTGTGGTGCTCATTTCGAATCTAGTGATAACAGGAGCCGCATTATGCATCTTCTATGAACTTCATAAAAGATCAGAACATGTCATTGACCTGTAATGACGCAGTTCGACATTTTGTTTTTAGGAACATACTGCCTGGCGTAATCTTTGTCGTTTTTTCAAGTGCAAAACTCGAAGCACTGCTGTGTGATTTTGGTCAACATGGCCAAAATCATACAAGAAGGGTCAGACAAGGTCGCTGACCTTAAATGAGGATGTGACCTTTTGCTAGAACCTTATTCAGGTTCTGGGGTTGCTTTGGAGACCAACATGGGGTTTGACCTTGTTTGACCTTATTCAACCCGAAGGGTGTAACCTGGGGGCCTCAAACTTCGACTTGAGTGGGTCCACGTACAGGCCATACATTCTTTGGATTTGGTGTGTCTAGCTCTCTTAGTTCCTGAGATCTCAGGGAGGTCAAATTGACGCCCCACCCAAGCGAAGGGTATCCAACCGGCCGCCCGGGCGCGTGTTAACAATCCTATGGGAATGTGTCGTTTTTATGCCCCAATCTTCCTCAGCTTAGCCCATACTGTCGTTTAGTCGTCGTCATTTGGGACTTTACGACACACTCGGACGCTGGGACAATATGGCATCGCCTGCCTCTCGTCCTGACAGGGAAGGGCGGACGCTGGGACAATATGGTGTCGCCTGCCTCTCGTCCTGACAGGAAGGGCGGACGCTGGGACAATATGGTGTCGCCTGCCTCTCGTCCTGACAGGAAGGGTGGACGCTGGGACAATATGGCGTCGCCTGCCTCTCGTCCTGACGGGGAGGGCGGGTGCCGCGGGTAGTCGGGCCCCGCACCCCTGGTTTCCCTTACCCAGTAGCTCAGGCGGGCTGTGACGGCATAGCCGGCGTCTCCTGCTGTCAGAGCACTCACGGAGAGATCCCGCGCGACACGTCTGGAACGGTCGACGCTGTTTCCGAGATATGTCCGGTGTGCGAGGTCGATTTCGGAAAAGCATCGGCCGATTTCGGGTAGGTTACCTTCACACGTATGGGCATGACAACGTTGAGATCTGAAAGCGAGCTGTAGGTTTTGTAGTCGTCTGTGACATGTAACTGCCAGTATATCGTCACATGCTCTGGCTGTTGAGATTTGATAATCCTTGAAATTGTCCCAGAGTGGACGGACTCAAGCTCTTCGCACACGAGAGCGCGTAGCCAGCTATACACAGCGACCCACACGTTTGCCAGCGCGATTGCCCGCTTAGTTTTCTCTGTCAGAATCCGTTAATCTTGTGTGGCTGTGAGACCAATTTAGCGAGATCTGGACGCGATTTCGACCCGTGTCCTTCAACTTCTCCCAAATTAAAAATCAAATTTCCACGTAAATAAAATGGGAACGCGAAATTGCGGTGATATTGCAACATTGTGGAAAACTTACCTGATCAGTGAGTTTGCTGCATTTCACATGGAGTCGCGGCGATAGCAGGGCCGAGCCGGGCTGGGTCGGGTCGCTCAAGCTCAGGGCTGGTCCGTAGTCCAAGTAAGAGTCACTTGTGCTTCTGTCTCGCTGGAAGTTACGTCAGGAGAAGCGACGGTAGTGGCTTGAAGAACGAGAATGTTAGCCTCGCGTGCTTTACAGTCAGTGCTCGCGGCACAGTCATGGCGATATCCCTGGATGTCGATACGATCATCATGGTCTATTTGTGTCGGGAGATGTGACCGGCTGGCGACACATCATTTTTCTGAATATTATTTGATATATTATTTTTCAGGGAAATGGCTGGCGTGGATGTCAAATGGCTTATGAGCACTTCCTCTGGTGTTACCCAACCTGTTCCGCTCCAATTGGTCGTATAACTTTGTCTTTTGCCTTTTGGCCGAAAGGCAGTTGAAGTGCCGTGCAGACCTACGCATTAGCCTCTAACCGCCAAGACAGTACCCCCACCACTCAAGCATCATACCAGACGGCGGCAGTTCTTGAAAAGGGCAAATCGATGGATGGCAGCAAAGACCTCGACAAAATCGCTCGCCATCACATGCTGTATTAGACGCATGCCAAGCACGTGCTAACGTCATCGAACTCTATGGTGGGCTGGCTCGAAGTATAATTACCCGGATTGAATTTCATTTGACGCTCATCTGAAAGAGATGAATCGCATAAATGCACGATGCGCACTGGCTACAAAGCCAGAGGGCTTACGGTACCCCTTAGTTACAGTGATTGGTCTACCTCCCGTTTTCATACTGCACGTGCTGTACCCATCTCAGCCGATCGCGGGCCCTGTGCGCGCCTCGCCAACGCTCCGTCGCCCGCAGAGCGTCTGACAGCGCTGCTGAAGAAGCTGTTCGACTCGCAAGTGTCGGGCGACGTCAACGAGGAGCTGGTGAAGGCGGCCGCCAACGGCGACATCCAGAAGTGTGAGGAGATCCTGAAGCGGCCGGACGCGTCCCGGGACGGCGTGTTCGCCGGCCACACGGCCCTGCACGCCGCCTCGCAGAACGGCCACCAGGAGGTCATCAAGCTGCTCCTGCTGCACAAGGTCGACACCGAGATCGAGGTACGTGGAGCGGCGGCGGCGCGGCCGACCGCGACACGGCAGCGGCAGCGGCAGCGGCTGTTTCCGCACAGCTGGAGTTGTGGGTGTAGATGAAAACATGTGGGGAAGTCCGGAGCAGTGTGGGGCAAAGGTAACGTTGGCGTTTCAGGTCCCGAGCTCAGTTGTGGGTGGCTGTGGAGACAAAATAGTTTCGATGCAAGTTCATATTTGACTTTGGAGTGCCGTCTACCAGTGTGGTTTCTACGCTCCCGTTTACTGACATGGTAAGGGCGAATACCCATAAGGGTGAGTGTGTTTCACTTTTTGTTGGAACAACGATTGCCGGGCTCTTTCGACGTGTCTTAACTTGATGATTTTAAGCGTCACCTGTGCGTTGCCAAGGCGCAAATTTTCAGACTGCTGAAGGCTTTGAAGTTTCAGGAGTTGGCATGAGTTGCATATTGTTGCTTGTGCGACTGAGATGTCCTTTGCTCATTGATGACAGCACCGTGTCTTGGTTGTTTGATGTTTGACAACGTTTGGCGTGCCATGGATAAATTGGTTGCGCTCGGCAGGTGTTAAATCCGCCATATACCATATGGTTGCGGATCGTAAGCATAGATGGCACTGTAATCAGAGCGGTATTTGCAAGAGGTTTGGGTTTTTGAGTTACATAAGAGGTACCAGGTACAAGAGGCATTGGCTGAATAACTGGAGGTAACGCAGGCATCTGTGCATTTTTTGTGTGTTTCATACGATCGAGTCAGTAAATTCGACCTGGTCCATTTTAAAAATTACTTGAGCTGTTTGATGCCTTTCTGAAAAAAACAACACGTGGCTTCATGCATGTTTTGGAAGAGAACACGTTGATGGTGGTGCGATAAACTACACTTTGCGTTACTACACTACACTACACGTTAGCACTCAGTACATACCGATTCATAGCGCGATGTGCAGGGTGTATGTGGCGTGACAGACTTCCCGTGATGAACAACTGTACACTGCGTTGGGGGCTTATCACGACACAACGCGTGTATGTGCGGCACTCATGCTTAGCGGTTGGCAAGCATAGCGGTGACGTTAGGCTTGACTGGCTGCTGGCTTGACGATGTAGCTTCCCGTCATGTGATGCCTAGCGGTGAACACGGATCCGGGCGTTGTGGGGGCCGGGGCGTCGCGTTCCATGTGAGGGTTATGTTCGATGTTATGTTCACACACGTCGCGTTCGATCTTTGGAGGTCATCCTGCAGGCAGCAGGACTGTTCACCAAAACATATGGTCTAATTATGGTACGCCGCAAAGTCAACGTGTCGTGTTCTCTTTAGTATAAGGTACATACTACATGACGTAAAGCTGGCATTCAGCCTTACGGTGAGCTGGTACAATTAAAAAACGTACTGGTGGGCAACATACTTGTATAGGGCCGCACAATTTTTGCCAGCCAGACCCACGTATTCAGCTGAGTTCTGGCAGAGTGGGTGCTTTGGCCGTGCCCGCCAGTGCCAGTGGTGTCTGAAAATCCATGGTCCGTTTGATTTTCTGCGGCAGGCAAGATTAATGCCGCTGATGGATTGCGAACCGGCTCCGGTCAGCGACCTGACGCTGTAATGTCTTTGTGTCCAGCAGATATAGTGTCTCTGTATCTGGCACATTCAGCGTCCCTGTATCTGCCCTATACAGACCGTTTCGACTGCAGCAGGCAGCCTCGTCGCCTGGCGACCGCAGGACGGCTGACCAATAGACGCTCTGATCTTGACACCTGTGTGTGTGTGGGGGGGGGGGGGGGGGGGCGTGCGTGCGTGCGTGCGTGCGTGCGTGCGCCTGTAAATGTATATGGACTTCAACTAATTTTGGTTGCATTAAACGCAGGCCTCCACACCGAGGCAAATTATGTGCTCCCGGCAGCGCGGTGACGTCACGTTTGCGCCTGCTTGGTCAGGCTGGAGCGGTACACTGAGTCGGTGCGTGCACACTGTTCGGCGGCAGGTCACGGGCGAGGAATGGTGGCTGGCTCCCTGTGTGATGCAGTCATCATCCCAGCCTGCGAGCTCTGTCCCCACCTGACTTCCGCGTGCCGGAGGTTTTCCAGTCACCCATCCGCCTGTCCCGTTGTGTGACCGGTGGCCAGTGTACCTCGTCATCATTGTGCCGGCGGAGTGTTTCGCTGGCCCCTGTTGAGTCGTTCCTTGACCAATCACTAACCGCTCAAAGCCCGAAAACATCCCCGTCCGCTTAGAAGTCTGCCGGCGAGGCTTTAATGGGGTCCCATGTCCTGTCGCGGTGCTGTATGCTTTACCCTGCTTGACTTCTAACCGCGAGAATGTAGACCAGCGACCCCTGCCGATGACATTCCGGGCGCCGGTGCTTCAGTCGGTGCTCAGAGATTGCGACGATGTCCAGCTGCCTGGCTTCTCGTGTTATCGACCGAATGTGCAGAGGCTTTGTTGCCAGGCCGGCTACCTCCGAATCAGCGCGTGTCTAAGTCGCCCTGTGCCGTACGTGCCCACTGAGAGGCAGCCGCGGGGTGGTCAGGACGCGCGCTGATGACCCATGAGGTCGCTGCGTGAGCGCGGGCAGTCGATTCGCCCGAAGACGCCAGATCCTCATCGGTGACCCCGCCACCCCTGTCGGTTACCTGCGTTGTCCAGCACGCCCGGCAGGCTACTGACGCCGCGGCCGGCCGGTGCCGCAGGACAAGGACGGAGACCGGGCGGTGCACCACGCGGCGCACGGCGACGAGCCGGCGGTGATGGTGCAGCTCATACAGGCCGGCGCCGACCCAAACGCGCGCAACAAGCGCCGCCAGACGGCGCTGCACATCGCCGTCAACAAGGGCCTCTACAACTTGGTGCAGACGCTGCTGGAGAACGGCTGCCACCCCAGTCTGCAGGTGAGGGACAGGCTGTCCACCCCGGCGCACAGGTATGGGACGGGGTGCCACCCCAGCCTGCAGGTATGGAATGGGGTGCCACTTTAGTCTGCTGGTATGGGACAGGGTGTCACCCCAGCCTGCAGGTATGAGATGGGGTGCCACTTTAACATGCAGGTATGGGGGAGTGCCACCTAAGCCTATAGGTATGGGGCGGGGTGCCGCCCGGCCTACCGGTATGGGCGGGCTGCTACCCAGCCTGCAATTGAGGGACGGGGTGCCACCCCAGCTTGCAGGCGATTACTATCTGTAAAATTGTGGAAGGACAAATAGCTTGTACGGAATCCTAGTTGCCAAGGCAACTGGTCGTATTCTGTTCCCTTTGGCACGATAGGCTTGTTGGCGGCGACCTGGACGACAGAGAAGACCTTCGACAGGATACATGCGGTCATGCTCCAAAGATTCTGCGCCTTTTGCTGTTCGCTGTCATCCGGGTGATGGACATTCTACGTGACGTCACTTGCCAGCATCGCAGAATCTTTCGCTTATGTGGCCGCAGAATTAGTAGAAAGGGCGCCACGGATTCATTTGTAAGCAAGTTTGTTTGCTCCCAAACGGAGCGCGACTGATGAAAATAAAATTTATCATAAGTTATAAGCAGTATAGTTTGCAGTTTCCATACGTTTGTCATGTTTCTTCGCACGCGTAGTACGCGCGGGTAAGGCCTGATTTCTTACGTGCGCAGTTTTCTGCAATAATATTACGAAAGCGGTAAAATAAATTGTATCTTACCTTGAACACAGCCGGCGGTAATTCTACGTGGCTTCACGTTTTGCTGCTGCTGGTGTTGTTTTCGCTGCAAGTGCACCATGCATCTCATGGCTTCAGCTGTAGTGCTTTTTAGGCGGGCAGAATGACCTAACAATCGGACGATGCCGGTGCTATACATAGATGACAAAAACGTGGTCCAGATTCATTAGCTATGCTACTTAATTATCTTCTCTGGGTGTGCTCAATAACTCATGTTTCGCTTTCTATTTTCTGGTCCCTGGTGCTACTCCTCTTTTTCTGCGTTTTGCTCCTCACGTAGATTGCATTGTTCGTGAGACCCCGCACTCCCGGAACCAAGGTCCTCGTGGCTCCGGACACTTTGATCACGGCAAACCCAATCAGCGGAGCCAGGGCGCCGGCCAGTCCAATCAGCGGAGCCAGGACGGGAGTCGGCCCAGCCAGTGCAGCGGGGGTGGCGGCCATTCTGGCTCCGGATTGGAGATCGGGTCCCCCGCGGCTCGGGAAAAAAACCTAGCGATCCGGTCTGGCAAACACTCGACTCAACTGCACGGCTCCGCAGCTCAAGGCTGGGAGTTTTTGTCGGCACGCGCTTCAAGTGGGAGGGAGAGCTCTTGACCGCCGGCTGGTGACGCAGAGTCGGCGGCGCTGGCGCGCTTGTGGTCCGGGGGTGGGTCGTCACTGAGACGCCACGCTGCGGGGGCCGAGAGGCGCGGACTGGGAGCAGGACTGGGACGGCGCTATGGAAGGAGTGAGCCGGGGGGTAAGGATCAGTGAGCCGGGCAGGATGTGAATGAGAGCTGGTGGAGATGAGGCTGAGTGAGCCATAGCGTTGTGATTGAGTAGGAGGAGATGAGGGCGAGTAGGCCGGAGGAGATGAGGATGAGTGAGCCAGAGGGGATGCGGGAAGTGAGCCTGAGGGTGATGAAAATGAATGGACGAGAGAGATAGACGAAGCTATCCGGGGGCATCATCTCGGTGGCCGAGCCGTCTCTCTTCACGGTGTGATGCGCTCGCAGCTCGTGTGCAGGGACGCTGATTTCGGAAGTATTCGCCTTTGCACCGTGGGGACGCCAACAGAATTACCTCGGCGGCCGGCCCCGCCCGGTCGGCAGGAACGCCTCGCTGGCTTTGGCGACCGTGTGGTGCCACTGCCAGACACCATATAAGTAGAGAAACGTCAAATACATGGCGAGCCTGCCCTGTGCCATATTTCGTCTGAAATCATGTGCCATTGGTGACTCTCCCTCAGGCTACAAATGACAGCAGTTAAATGTTTTTGGTCCCACTACGTGAGCTACTTTAATTATCGTACGTTAAGCTTCATTATCCCGCCATCCGTTATCTAACATCAATTGTCGCTTATCAAATAAGCTAAGCCTGGTTTACTTCTGGCCTACTCTAATCACAGCACAACTGGGAGTCAGTTCGCTCCTTGTATTACATTCGCAGCGGGCATTCTCTGCTCGCGTCTCATCGCGGCGTGCTCGGACGCCCTCGGCGGCACGTTTAATCCCAGGCGAACGACGCGCCCCAACTCCCCCACTTAACCCCAGCCGAACGCCTCTCGGCATCTGATGACAGTCTCGTCGGACATCCTCTACCGCGCTCCATTTAATTGCAGTCTGGCTCACAAACTCTGTTTCCTTCCCCAAATAATCGCAGCCTAACTTACCACACTAACTGCTGACGCTTTAGCCGGGCTAGACAGACTTAATCTGTTCTCAACTTGCTGCCTCGCCGCTGCCAAGCGTGGCCCCTGCTGTTGGCCCAAACTTCATCCTACCCCAGTCCGTCCTTCCCAGCATTTGACTTCAGTCCGTCTTGACCTGAAGTTCTTAACACCTAACGTGATCCTGTTCTAGCCTTGCATTGCCTGCACTCATGTTATCCCGCCGGAACAGTAACAATCTGTCCTCTCCACGTCTGCCTAACGCGACATCTGGTGGCCCGCTCCCATTTAACACCACCCGCACCTGGCCTCTGCCCCCCCCCCCTCCCGGATTTAATCGGCGCGTCTTTCGTCAGCCGTTGTCAAGAGCGACGAGGGGCGTGCTCTTGCCTGCCGCCGGCCTCGGGTGCGGCGCAAGCCGTCGGTGAACGGACGGAAATTGTCAGTTCAGCGTCAACACGGCGGGGGGCGGGGGGGGGGGGGGGGAGCGGCGACTTCGCCGAACGCCGGCCGCCGGCCCGCCACGGACCACCGGCCGTGTACGGTATGCGCTGCACGCTGTCGCCACGGGTGCGCGGCGGGCCGCCATTAGGGAGCATTAGAGCCGCTTCCTGGGGCCCGGCCCGGGAGACGGAGCGCCGCGGCTGGCGGCCGGCGTCGCCTGCTCGGCGGCCTGGCCCGCCGGCCGCTGACGCCCGATGCCGGAGCGGCGTGCGGGCCGGTCGGACCGTGAGGTGGCCGCGTTGTCGAAGGCGGACTGGCTGGGGCCGGGCGGCACCCCGAGCCCGACTGCGTACGTCCTCGTGCGTGCCGCACCGAGCCCCCCGCTTTGAGTTCATCCCCTCACCCACCCCCGCCCCGCGTACGGACGCGGGGGCTGCTGCTGCGTCCTGTTCTGCGGCAGTGGTGGGTCCCGACTGTCGGGCGTTACACGGTCGGGATGGAGCGGCGCGATTGGGTCAGAGGGTTTCATTCTCCTGACTGGCCTCGTTCGGCTGGGTAGTGCGATGCCCGCCGGCTGTTACGTCGACGAGGGCCCGACGTAATGGGCGTCACGCGCTCTGAACTTTGGCTCAGGCTCGTTCGCCAATGCAGCTCAAACCAGCGCGCGGCCGAGTTTTCCGGTCCAGTGCCGCTGCTCCTCTTAATGGGAATCCGTTGGCCCGTCGCTACACTTTCGAACGATTGGTTCTTGATGCTTGCGATATGCAGCATCAAATGCTTGTCGGAAGCTGATGCGTAAGGATCGCTTTAGGTGAATGCAAGCGAGACAAAGTTGGGATATGCTTCAATTTTCAGAACTTTCCGTGAACGGCAAATTTAAAACACCATCGTAAATCGCATTTCTGTCGAAATTGCCCATAACATTTAGCTGCACTACGGTCATCTATCTCAGTTCAACCCTTGAAAAGACAAAACGTTTCTTCATCAATTTAATGGCGACCATATTTTAGGGTCATCGCAAGCTCTTACACTGGAAATAACCAACTTTCATTGTACCGGCTGGAACTGGCTAAGCAAAGACGTGAAGTCGCTGGAATGCATTACGAAAATGCTCAATTTGCTCAAGATATTCATTAAATGTTGTTGTGTCATCGAGCAGCATGGTCAACCAATATCAATGTCGTTATCATTAAACAATTGAGTTCACGATATGATAGAGTAGTAGTTTCACAACACATCCCAATGATTGATTGGTATCCTCGTTTGACTCGTTCTCCCGGTAGAATGGCGGTTGGTTGTTTGTGGTGCAGGAGCTCACAATGCTGGAAAGACAGCAGCTTCAACTTTTTCTTCTTGAATGGCATATTGTAGTGTAGCCGAGCGCGAGTGAGATCCAGCGGCGCTCGCACCGATTACCTGCAGTGTGACGGCCCGGCCGCTGCCCTGCCTCGGCGCCCCCAGCACGAGCGGGGCCCAGCCGTGCTCACACCGATTGCCTGCAGTGTGACGGCCCGGCCGCTGCCCTGCCTCGGCGCCCCCAGCACGTGCGGGGCCCAGCCGTGCTCGCACCGATCACCTGCAGTGTGACGGCCCGGCCGCTGCCCTGCCTCGGCGCCCCCAGCGCGAGCGGGGCCCAGCCGTGCTCGCACCGATTGCCTGCAGTGTGACGGCCCGGCCGCTGCCCTGCCTCGGCGCCCCCAGCACGTGCGGGGCCCAGCCGTGCTCGCACCGATCACCTGCAGTGTGACGGCCCGGCCGCTGCCCTGCCTCGGCGCCCCCAGCACGAGCGAGGCCCAGCCGTGCTCGTACCGATCACCTGCAGTGTGACGGCCCGGCCGCTGCCCTGCCTCGGTGCCCCCAGCACGAGCGGGGCCCAGCCGTGCTTGCGCCGATCACCTGCAGTGTGACGGCTCAGCCGCTGTCCTGCCTCGACGCCCGCCCCCGGCCGTCGAGCAGCGGTCAGCAACGCTCGAGCAGGGCGGCCGGCGGCACCTCTGGGCGGGTGTCGGGTCGGCCGTGCCCGCGCGAGCGAGGCCACCTCAGGTGTGATCGGTCGTCAGATGACGGAGGCGGGGTGGTAGGGAGGCACCACGGCGGCTGGAGTGTGGCCTGACAGCGGTGACGACCGATAGCACGCCGGCGCCCCGTCACTGTGGTCAGACAGAGACGGTCGGTCGTCAGATGACTGAGGCGGGGTGGTGGGGAGGCACCACGGGGGCTGGAGTGTGGCCTGACAGCGGTGACGACCGATAGCACGCCGGCGCCCCGTCACTGTGGTCAGGCAGAGACGGTCGGTCGTCAGATGACTGAGGCGGGGTGGTGGGGAGGCACCACGGGGGCTGGAGTGTGGCCTGACAGCGGTGACGACCGATAGCACGCCGGTGCCCTGCCACTGTAGTCAGACGGAGACCGATTACTGGCGCCGCCGTAGTCAGGCTTTAGCGACTGCTAATCAGACACTCAGTGATGTCGGGCCTGGAGGCGCAACCCAACAATCGGGGTGATGCTGGGCCTGGAGACTAATTGGGTGGGAACGATCAGTAAACTGGTCTTCTCTTGTCCTTTTGTCCTTGCACGCGTGGCTTCCCCATCTCATCTTCGACGATTGTGTCTTACTTTATTATACACACCACCACATTCGCCCTTAATGCGGGCTATTAATATGTCCGCCGCGGGGAGTGAAATTGACGCCAAAATGCGAGGTCGGGTGCAGCAGGGACACTGGGGCGGTTATTGAGGGTGAGTGGATGTGGAGTATAGCATGAGGCTATTATGGGGAGGGGCTATTAATGCGAATATTGCAGCTTGCGATGCATCCTGCTGGGGTTGATGGCGCGGTCAGCAAGGTGCATTTAGAGAAGGAGAAGTGGGGGATGAATGGACAAGTGAAGTAGAAGGGGTGAAAACGAACCAAACTGAGCACCCAACAAACACACATGGTGCTGAATGCTGATCATGTGAGCACCCGTCGTTCTCGTTTTGAAATGCAGTCTGAGGGTGCCAGACTATTACGCTGTTTTTCTGTGTGATCAGCGGGCGAGAGTGCATGTCCCTGGTTTACTGATGGAGCTTATGATTCGGTAGAACAGGGCTCATGTGCTTGCGGCTGAACCTTACCTCAGCCACTTCAGATGTTCTTCGATATGCCGGTTACGCGAGTCACAGATCAAATTAACACGGCTCATTAGCTTGGTAATTTTGAGCTGGTTATTTGATTGCCTGCGCTTCAAAGTCGAATTAAGGCGATAATTTAATCATGAGGCAGGTGATTGGATTGCTAGTCTGCGCGTCTGTCAATTTGTTCGGACAAATGGCTGACTTTTTGAGATCTGCTACGTCACAACTCTGGAAAAAGAAGGAGCCCAATTGTCACAGCTGGATGCAGCGGACGAGATTTGGTTGGATGCTTTCCATATGTGATAGAGGATTAAGTCGACGTGGCATGCTGGATGTCCGGGCTGAATAGCGTATGCCGGGTGTGACCAGTATGATAGCACGTTCCCTCTACCCTACAGCACGTGTCCATCCTTCACCACACATTGTGCTCCAATCCATGGGACTGAATGCACCACGCCACCCCAGGAGCTATTACATGCCCTCGGGACTCTGCCTCATGACGCATCTCACTGCTCTTCTGTCTCCACAATGGGCATAAACGGCCGAGTGGTCAGGGTTTCTGCCCGGGTCCAGGCGGCTGGGGTTCGGGTCTCACCACAAGCGACTGTGAATGGTCCTGACCTCCACCAGGATGTGGCGATGCGGATGACGTCAGTCGCGTGTGTGGCGATGCTGATGACGTCAGCAGTCACGTGTGTCGTGATGCTGATGACGTCAGCAGTCACGTGTGCGACGATGCTGATGGCGTCAGTAGTCACGTGTGCGGCGATGCTGATGACGTCAGCAGTCACGTGTGTGGCGATGCTGATGACGTCAGCAGTCACGTGTGTGGCGATGCGGATGACATCAGTCACGTGTGTCGTGATGCTGATGGCGTCAGTAGTCACGTGTGCGGCGATGCTCATGACGTCAGCAGTCACGTGTACGGTAATATACAACTCAACAAATATATATGGCGCCTGAACTAGACCTCGCTAAACAGCTGCATCCACACCAGGAGCCCGTGACAGCTTCCCGCATCACGACTCGAACCCGGTGTGGCTGCCCCTGCCCCGCCCCGCGTTGCAGGACCCGGACCTCGTCTTACCCTCCCCTCCCCCTCGTCGCCGCAGGACCTGGACGGTGACACGGCGCTGCACGACGCCATCAGCAAGAAGCGGGACGACATGGTGGCGCTGCTGCTGGAGCACAGCGCCGACATCACGCTCACCAACAACAACGGCTTCAACGCGCTGCACCACGCGGCCCTGCGCGGCAACCCGAGGTCAGTCGAGGTCAGGTCACCGCCCGGCAGCCGGGCAGTGACGGCCGACGCGCCGCCACGTGCCGTGGTGGCGACGAATGAGACGCCGCTGGGCCAGCGCGCGGCGCAGAGTCGGGGCGGATGAGGCGTCTGCGGCCGGCCTGTCTCGCTGGCGGCTGACCGGCGTGCCGTCGGCGGAGGGGGTGATGCCGCCGGAGGCCGTGACGGCTGTGGTGGGGGATCGCCGGGGCCTCGGCGGAGGGGGTGATGCCGCCGGAGGCCGTGGCGGCTGTGGTGGGGGATCGCCGGGGCCTCGGCGGGAGGGGGGTGATCGCCGGCGGCCGTGGCGGCTGTGGTGGGGGATCGCCGGGGCCTCGGCGGCTGTGGTGGGGGATCGCCGGGGCCTCGGCGGAGGGGGTGATGCCGCCGGCGGCCGTGGCGGCTGTGGTGGGGATCGCCGGGGCCTCGGCGGC